GTAAAATACTGAGGAAAGGTCGAGACCAGAAATGAGAAAAGACAATTAGACGTAGCAATAAAAAGACTACTGGTGATCTTGAAGAGAGGAATTTCAGTCAAATATTGGGGACAGAAGCTGGACTGCAAGGGTTTGAGAAGTAAGTAGAAAGTGAGAGGTAGAGATAAGGAATGGTAAGTAGCATTTTCTAGGAGTTTGGCTATGAATAGGAAGAGAGAACTAGAATGACGGATTGAAGAGATGGCTTTTTAAAGATAAGGGAGATCTGAGCATGTTTGTAGGCAGCAGGCAAAGAGCCAAAAGATAAAGAGGTGTTGAAAATCAGAAGGGAGACGGAGAGACAATCTAAGTGGCAAGTCTCTAAAAGCGAAAGGAGAGGACGGGATGGAAGGAACAAGTAGATAGGTTGGGAAGAAGGGCCAACTCATCCTTCAAAAGTAAAGAATAGGATAGGGAATGATGCTGAGATAATTTGAGGTGGGGAACTGGGGATGAGGGAAGCTTACAATAGCCTCATTTTTTACTTACTTTTAAAATAAATGTTTATTGATCCTTTGCTTTTGTATTACCTACATTTCTTAATATATTCCTCCCCTCTTCCTCTCTAGAGCCATTCCTTAACAGAATGGAAAAAAAAAAGAGAGAGAGAGAGAGAGAGAGAGAGAGAGAAAACCAGTTCAATAGAACTAGCCAATATATCAAAAAAAAAAGTCTAACATTATATGCAGTGTTCCATAGCAACAGTACCCCCTCCACAAAGATGGGGGTTAGGCTGGTGCCTCTCATATCTCAATTGTTTAGTGGTGGTTGTTCCATTTACGTGGCTGAAGTCATTGTGTCAATTTTTCTGGTTTTGCTTACTTCACTTTGCATCAGTTCATGTTTAACTCTTCCTATGCTTCTCTACATTCATATTGTGCTTTACAGCACAGTAATAGTCTACTACATTCATACATCATTATTTGTTTAGCCATTCCCCAAATGAGGGATACCAACTTTGTTTCCCATTCTTTTCTACTACAAAAAGTACTGCTATAAATATTGTGGTGTAAATGGGGCCCTTTCTCTTTGTCACTGACCTTCTTGGAGTATGTTTGGCAATAGTTTCTCTGGGTCAAAGAGGTGGATGTTTTTGTCATTTTCTTCACATATTCCAAACTGCTTTCCAGTATGATTGAATCAATTCACAGATCCACTATCTGTGCATTAATACGTTGACCATTTCTATCTAAAGTCAGTTTGTTGGATATGAGGTAAAGGTCTAGAATTGTTGATTTGTGTCTCTTAATAATTATCCGGGGCATTATTTCATATGCTTGTTAATTTTTTTCAATTCTTTTGAGGATACTTTGTTCCTATCCTTTGTTAGCTGCTCATATAACTTGGATGAGGCCCTTATCAGAGATATTTGATACAAATTTTTTTTGTATTCAAACATTTCTTATCCTCGCTGCATTAAAGGTATTCAATTCCCGTACTTTTCCTTTCTATCTAATCCTTGTTGGGTTAATCTACCCCTACCACATCTGTGAATGTGCCTGATCTCTTTTTTGTGGCATGAGCTTTCATATTCAGGCCGTATCATCCATTCTGAGCTTATTACAATATATGATATCGGCTGTTGGTCAGCCCCAGTGAAGTATGAGGCGAGGTGATCTTGCTGAGAGACAAAGAGGAGAGGCCGCTACAGACAGTTTAAGAAGAGACACCCGAAACCATAGTTTTGATGAGGAGGAAGCGTAGTACGAGGATCAAGCAGGGAAGGGTGAGAGGATTGTCGTGAAGCAGGGAAAGCCCAGTTAAACACGGACAACACATCTGTCGCAAAGCCCAGTTAATATAAGCTGTGCGATTCCCCCCAAGAGCATTCAGCAACAACCGAGCAAGCATGAAGGCAGACCGCGAGAGAGATCCAGGATTAGTGTTTAGAGAGGGATGAGAAGTGGCAGATTAACGGGGCAGAGACAGAGTCAACTTTGTGGTGGTTTCCATTATGCCAGTAGAGACTCCCTAACCCGACTGAATGCTGCAGAGTTATTCTGCAGAGTATAGAATGTCGTCTGTTTCTTCTGACAGGCATGACTGATAACATACAAAGCACCTAACCCTCCTTCTTCTGATTCCTATATTTGAGCTCCTTAAGGACACCTACTATAGACTGCCCTGTAATTTTTTTTTTAACTTTTCACATTAAATCCAGATGAAAAAGCGTTTGATCAGGTACCTGTTATTCATTGCGCACATCTTTAGTAGACTGCCACGCCAGGATTGTGCTCCTGGTCCTGTTCTACTCAACATTTTTTAAACACAAATCACTCTACTGTCTCTAAGGATGACATGTAACCTCCTCCATTTGGAACCCCAACCCACCTTTCCAGACCGTTCACACATGCTGCATTCCATTCAAAATGGCCTACTCACTGTTCCTTCCTCTGAGTCTCTGCTTAGGCTGATCCCCATACCTGGAATGCTTTCCCATCTCACTTCTGACTCTTGAAACCACTAGATCCCTTCAGAGCACAAATTAAGTGCCACTTCCAACATGAGACTTTTATATCAAGAAAAGTCCTGAGGAACATTTCCCTGCTCCCCACCCCCGACTAAAAAATTTTCTTTTTACTTTGCATTTCCTTTGTGTTTTGTATTTCCTTATTTGTCTACATGAGAGACAGTGTGACACTGAGAAGAGCACTGGATTGAGAATCTGATTCCTTAGAGACAGTAGTACCACGGTGCTCAGCTATAGAGCATCACCAGGACAACATTTGTGTTGAAAAAGATGGGGTTTTGTATCATCTTAAGCCACTGGGGAAAATTAAGAGACTTCTAATGCACTTAATGCCAAATGCAAACCACCATCAGCATTATCCCTTCTATTCAATTCTAGGCCTGACTCGTTGTCTATTTGCAGCCTGTATCCCAAAGATATAGGAATCGATGTATTAACTCAATGGATTGGCCATCCAACTCCATGTCATAGTCTGATCAATAGGAATTTTTCATCCAGTTGCCTTTTCCTGACTGGTGGTAAGCTGAGCTCTCGGGGGAGTAGCAGGGCACAGTGGAAAAGTGCTGGCTCTGGAGTGGGAATACCTGGGTTCCAATGCCACATCATCTATACAATCTTTAGCAAACCACTTAACCTCCCTGGGACTCAGTTTCTTCATATGTAAAATGAAGGCTGTGAACAAAATGGTCTGTGAGGTCCCTCTCAGCTCCAGAGCTGTGATCCTTCCTAGCAATGTCTGTGGATAATTACGGGATTCCCTAGATGGCCCTGTAATCTTTTGGGGGTTTGATGAAATCAGAACAATATCAGTGGCAAATAAGAGCATCTCCAGCACCTTCTTGTGGACCTGCCACAAGACAACCTTCCTAAAAGAGCTAAAACTAAGAAAGGTATTAACCAGGAAATACGCTCAACATAGATGTCCATCAGTGTCAGGATCTGCATAAAATTCAAACAAAATAATTTCCAATTGATAGAGATGTTAATCCAAATGCTATTTTCAGATTACACTATTTTAATTAATTCAAGCCTGATCAGTGCTTAAAAGTCCACAGCAACATTAAAGAGGTCAACTTAATCAACACCAAAAAAAACAAATTGTCAAAGCTGTGACATGCAGCTTGACAGGCAACCCACTGAATGAATCCTTCAACGTATGCATCTTAGATAGGTGTTACAGATGCACAGTGAGCTGGACCCAGAATCAGGGAGGAGGAGGTAGGAGGAGACGGGATTCGATAGTATCTAGGAAACTGTGCATTGCTTTCAATGATCCCAAACTACCTGCTGGTGCAAAAAGCCCCTCTGGTACTTGTTCCCAGTGGCCTTCAATGGTATCACACAGCTACAAATCATGGAACACCACGAACTGAGAAGAATTAAAATGGCAACCCAAAAGGCAATGGAAAGATTAATGATGATTATTAAGCAACTAGCATGTTACTAATGATTGTGAGAAGTATAAAAAGATATTATAAAGGACATACATGACCAGAAAAGAAGGTTAAGGATGTTCACAATAACAAGAATGAAACAACAGATGGACAGCCAAAACAGTACACTAATTCCACAAAATTTTAAGAGAACAAAAGGAAAATCTCTGGTACGTTCAATAAACCCTTTACGTATGATTTAAAGGTAATACAGACTAGAACAGCGCAGAATAAAAAGACACTGAAGAAGTCATGCATCAGTGGAAGAAATAGCCACACCAAAGTATAACCGCAGATTCCCCAAAATGCCAAAATTGTTTTTATATGTATAAGAATTTACCATGGAACTCCTACATTAGGAGTGAAAGAAAGGCTAAGAGTGCTGGTTGTATTACTCTGTGAAGTGACTTCACACTCGAATTTTCACCTTTTTTTTTCCCAAGGTAATCATTAGCAACTTAGAAAGAGAGAGATATATAAGCACTCCATCTTTTTTCCATTTGAATATTAATCTTTGGCAGCATCACAAATTACTCACCCAGAACAAGCATTATCTCAGACCTAGAGGTGATAAATTCTGTGTTCTTGACCATAAAAGGACATCTGCATACTTACTGGCAGCACTACTCTGAGTAACTTAAGGATTATTTGGAGGGAGGAAAGAAGGTCATTTGACTGCCACAACCATTTATTTTAGCCCAGGTTAAAAGTTGTCTCAAGTTCATTCTCCAAATGGATACAGAGTTGGACCCCAAAAGTAGTATGGCATATGCACCCATTTTTCACATATGATTTTGGTTTGGTGAAAATAAAGTCAAACATTGTGGCCCTATTCTTTACAGCGATGGGGTGGTACAGAATACTACATATAAGATCATACACTTTTTGCATACACTGGTTGGTTTTGCTGCACTGCTTTTGTTTTTGTTTTTTTATTTGCATATTGGGAAGTGTAGGTGATTAAAATGTATTTTTAAAAAAGAAAAGAAAGCCAAGAGTGCCAACAGCCACACACCAGCCATCCTCAGTCTCACTCACTCACAAAATGTGGTCACACATTGGTAAAACAACTTTAAAGTTGGTTTTTAATCTAGATTTCATCAGAATACAAAACTCCATTTTCATAGATAAAGCGGCACATCTTTGCAGCTTCTATTGCACCAAGAATTTAAAATTAAGAACACAAAACAGAAACATTTGGTTTGAAAACACTGCAAATAGCCAAGTACAGTACTTTGGTAAATCAAAAATTAAAAAGACTTATATTGACAGAATTTTTAAAAAAACAACACTTTGGGGTATAAACTACAGACATTAGACTCTAGGACACATTTCTCATCATCAATTTCCATAGATAAGGCAAGACTTGCTAAGTCTATGGATCATGACCCCATGGAGGTCTTAAATATCTCCAAACTGAAGCTAGAACAAGTGTAGTGCAATCTGACAAAAGAGAAGGCCCCTCGTACATTGACACACATTCACACCCTTCATAAAAGGCATGGTAGTATACCAGCACCGCAGCTGCAGACTCAAGGGCAGGCAGGCTTGACATGACAATTCACCTCTCTCCTTTCTTTCTTTTATGTGAATATATGGCTGTTGAAGTATACCAGATTGATAGCCAGGGAAACCAGATGCCCTTTAATCCACAGAAAAAGGGGAAGTAAAGGCAGAACAACATAAGGGTCATACCCAAACACTTCCATGTCAGAAGCTCTAACAAAGAGAGCAGCCAGAGGAACAAACAGTAGTTCGGTCTCCATGTCCAAGTTCAAATCATTGTAAGGAAATCCGACAAGTAATCTTTCGCATATTCCCTAACGAGGACTGGCATCACACCTGCCAATCCACTTCATGTGGACCACAGAATCATCATTAAGTGGTAACTTACCTTGCACTCCTACCAACCCTGATGAGAGTCAGGTAATGGGGGCAAGGGGTGGGGGGGGGGGGTTCTGCATCACTGGTGTATCTGGCTTAAAAGAAATTTACTGTATAGAAATTTATGCTTTTGGAAATAAGTTTCAAAAATTAGTACCCACACTACTAAATATCTAAACAGAAACATCCAGGAAACAGACACGGCATACATCTCTCATATGGCTCTCTCCTCAAGATATACATTTTGAGATAGAGAACAGTATTTACACTTTGTGACTTACTGTCAATATTATGATGTTCTCAGAAAATTGCCATCTTTCATTTGAACATGATTTTAAAGGGATTCTGATCATTTTCAGCATTAGGCAGCATGGTGCTATAGAAAGAGTGCTGGTTTGGAAGTCAACAGACCTGGGTTCAAATCCTGCCTCTGACAATTATCAGCTATGTGACCATGAGCAAGCCACTTCCCTTTTCTAAGCCTCAGGTTCCACATCTATAAAATGGGGGTAACACTTGCACTACCAATCTCACAGGGTTGCTTTGGGAAAACTACTTTGTTACAGTATTACGTAAATGTGAGTTATTATCATCACAACTTGGGGACAAAACTTAAAATTTTAGAATAGTCAACTTAAAAAATGTATTTTCAACTTTGTAGGAAGACATCTCCCTATAAAAAGTGATGTCTATTAATCAATGATGCCATCCATATAAACATAACTGTATGAACCTCTCTGATTTTGAATATCTACTCCGAAGTCTGAGATGAATAACACTAGGAAATAACTAAGACCAACAATATACAGGCAAATTGTATAGTTTCTGTAGTTAAAAGCTTTGAAATGACTAGTGCCCTGAGGCCAAAATGTGCATACCTGTACTTCTACTCCACAAAACGAGGACAGACTAAGACTATATATGCAATGAACTGCACTATTTGTCTCTAGAAGGATCTAGCTGGCAAGCATGCTTTTCTGAGGTTGTTTCTGCCCCAGAACACACATCTGAATTTCTTTACTTCCTGCTTTGAAAATGATCAAAAGTTTCATTAGAATTGAGCATTTCAGGAACAGTAAACTGAGATCACTGTTGTCAACCCAATAAAACTCAGGCAAGGCCTAGGGAGGGTTCCCCTAAACTAGAAAAACTGCAGCAGTGGAATCAAGATCTACGATTAGTTGAAAAGGGATGTCAGGGCATATTTACAATGGGAGCTTGCTGAATGCCCAACACAGCCCATTTAACTCATTCACAAAAGGTTCAATTGCACTTTCACAGGCAAAGCCTTCCCTACAGTATCATTAGCAGAGCATTAGAAATTACCTACATTCCGGCTTCTCCTGAGCCCAGGTCTAGCTGCTCCACAAGAGAGGTCCCACAATGCAAACCTTTGATGCCAAGAGAGCTATGGAAATGTTTTCTGTGCTTATGGAAGAAACTCTAGATGGTCCTCAACTAGCAGTTTTGAGTTTTATTTTTGCCACAACTTCCTCACCCAGAGATCATACCTGAAAGCATAGATTCAATGTGTCAAAAGAGTATTATGCTTACACACACACACACACACACACACACACACACACAGAGAGAAAATAGAATTCCACAATCCATTCTGGTAGCTTCTATGAGTACTAAATATAATTGCTCTGACTCACACATTTCTCTCTGGTTCAGCTGCCACCAATGAGGATTTTTCCCCTCCCACCCTAATATGAAAAATTCTTTTAAAACTTTTACAAATGTAGTGCTACTAACTAAACTACCACAGAGCTTCTGAGGGCTCCCTTCTTTTCTCTGCAGTAAGAGCATTCAGGGATAATTCCACTGAACACTAAATATCTCCCAGTGACATGAAAGTTAAGCACAGATTCAATCTCTAATCATGATTCAAATGGGTGACCCTGGCTAGGCTGGCAGCCACCAATAAGTGGTCTTAGCAGATATTCAAAATATAGAGCTTTCCAAATTGAGGCTGCATACTAATGTCAAGGTCCTATCAAGAGACATACATAGATTCCATTTATCCTGCTTTATGGGAAACTCAGGCAATAAATTCTTAAATCAAATCTTAAGCTAAAAGATGCCTAAGATAAAAATCCATATTCCCAATTCCTAAAAATTAGCACTTAAACAGTACCAATTTACAACTGAAGAAGTGAGAGAAAACAATAAAACAAATCACTGAAGCAGCTAGTTGATGAACTGAGCCACTGTCATTTAATCCCAGAAATTTTATGGATTATAAATTACCCAATCCCAGAAACAAGAAGATATGACAAAATAAATGTCCTTTAATCTTTATAGTGCCTCCCAAATTCCTAGAGACAGACATGCTCCTCTTGACCACTAACAGTGACCAATGAAGCAAAGAGGTAGTTTCCTCCAATATTTCCTACAATGGGTCCCTTCAGTTACCTCTCATTAAAAATTCTCCTGAATTTCACGTTCACGTCACTCTTCTTGTTCTTTCTGATGGGGCCCACTCTCCTCTGTCAGCTGTCACACAGGAGCACAAACCCAACAGAACAGAAAGACAGCTCATTCAGAAAAAGCTTGGTCCCAATTAGGAATGTGTCCAGATGAACACCAACAGAGTAACCAACCCTAAATTCTGTTTATAAAAGTGTTCAGGAACACTCAAAGCTAGCTCTCAAAGACAAAAGGAATCTCTTGCTTAAATAACGGAGACTATCTCAATCAAGGGATTCTACAATATGCAGAAGGAAAAAAGCTATTGACCAGTAGGCATGGTCTGTCTCCACCCAGCTGTTTAAGAAACCTGATAAATATTACAATCTGCACTCTGGAAAACTCCCAAACCACAATGTCCTGGGAACAATCACAGGAAATGTTAATGTTCCAATCAAAAGGTCATCAAAATAGAGAGAAAAAAAAATCAAAACACATCATTCAAACCAAAGAAAGCATAGATGCTGCTGCTAAAAAGATAATTCCATGAATCCAGGGCCAGCCCAGACAACAGTATCTATACAATTCAAATACTGCTTTTATAGGTCTCCCTTACGGGAATCTTTACAACTGGGGTAAACTTTTTTTTTTAATGGGAAACCAGTTCATAATATAACTTACGACTCATCAATTACTGTTTTCACACAAACCAGTCGAAATTTGAAGATTAGACACCATATACACAGATATTCCCAGATAGAAAAGTTTTCCTTCACACAAGCTAAGAATCCTGAGAAAACATGCTCAAATTGCTCGAGCCTTGCTATGCAATTTCAGAATTAGACTTATAGTTTAAGGACCTTAGCCGAGATACCTGTTCTGACCCATGATCCACAATGACAATGCAGTGAGCTCTTTGTACTATCAAAATCCCAAGAATGAGAAATAAGTTCATTATTACAAGGAATTTGATTTCCATGACACTAAAGAAATTTTAATTCATGGATCAACACAGTTAAGTTCCCCTGACATCTTTGATAGCAGCTTTCCAAATCTAAAATAGAGGGGAAGAAATCTGAGATGTTTAAAATATCAACTTGGGGGAAAAAGACAAAAACAAAAATCATTCTTCCTAACATATATGGTTCTCCCTTTATAAAAACAGTCCTACACATAAAGAATCCCTTTGAAGGCAGGTTCTTCTCAGACATTGGGTCAGGAAAATCCTTGACCTCCCCTTCATTATTATGAAAGAGAAGAAAATCCTGTTCCAGTCATGTCCAAAGTTCCAGAAATGTTTTGTAAACAATAAGGCAATCTTTTCCATTTCAAAGAAATGGGTACCAATAAATCTACAATTCTGCTTTTTCTTCCTTCCCTCTTTAACAGTCAGAAGCATTAGCTAGCATATGGCTTGAGTACAACTAGACATGAAAAGCACCTGGTCCAGGTTGAAACTCAAAATCCAGGAGGGGGAGAAATCTAAATTATTCGATTTTCACCCTTACTATAGGCCCCATCTGCCCCTATATTATACAGCTTTGGAAAAACAGTTCCTGAATTTTTGTCTATACAATGCGGATCAGAAGAAAATAAAAGAAATCTAAACTTGTTCCTGAGTTGGAGATCATTTGCAAACTACCCTGTATATTAATGTCTGTACATAAACCAGGGAAAGAAAAAAGGCTTGTCATTCTAAATTTGAAACTACTAACTTGAATTAATTTGTGAACAAGACGGCAAAACTCACCCCAAACATTAAGGAAAGAGTCCATAACCACTGAACTCATTGTCAGGGAGAGCAGAGCTACACTTAAAATGTTCCACTGACCTAATTAACCATTCCTAAGTTCTTGAGTTTTACAGAAGGTAATTTTTACTGCACGTGTGGTCAAAACAACAACAAAAAAGAACACATCACTAATGAAATGCTAAATTAAAAAGAGCTAGGGACAAACTAATATTTTTGAATATCTTTTGTAAGTGTTTTCCTTTCTTTTCTTTTTTTTAAATGATGGCCTTATCATAAAGTTCAGTCTATTTCCTATTAAGCAATCCATTTTCCATCAGCTTATCGTTTTAGAAGACACCAAGAGCAGTCAAATGTTGAGAGCAGCAAAGGTCTTCACCAAGGTGACCTGTGCACTAGCATCTGCCTCGCTGCGATTGTTGTCAGGGTTGTTACTCCTGTTCTCCTGGGCTCTCTGGCGGTGTCGTTCCTCCTGGCGCTTCTTCTTCTCCAGGCGCTGCTGCTCTCTCTTTTGTTTATTTGTTACCTGAAAGAAAAGACTGTCCATATCAGTGCAAGCACGTCTGACACAGACAGCTGCTGCCTCTAGGAAAGGAAAAACAGCAGGTGCGTGCAACCTCCCCCCTCAACACACACACACACACACACACACACACACACACACACACACACACACACACACACACACACACACTTTTTAGCTTTTCCGTAGGAACTCAGAAAACTTTCAACAGTACCAGAGATAACCTGATTACCAATTTTAAGTCCACCTCCCAGTCGAAATATAAGAAAACAAAATAATTAATTTCAATCTCCATTCTCTAGTTTTCCCTTCATGAGTCAATATTCAAAAAGAGTTATATTACTTCTCAAATTATCTAATAACCTGAAAAATGCAAATTAAAATAATTTTAAGGGAATCTCACACCCATTTTTCTTAAAAACTGCTAAAGACAATAAAATTCAATGTTAGTGGTACTATTGCGGAAATGGGCACCCTATTAAAATGTTGACAAACTGTGAAATGATGCAAGCTTTTTGGAGAGCATCTGTTAAGCATTAAGCGCCTACTAGGTCCCAGTTACTCTACTAGGCAGGAAAGATACAAAAACAAAAATGAAACCATTCAGACCCTCGAGGAGCTTACATTCTATCAGAAGAGAATAAGTCTGATAGGAAATAGATATGTAAAATTAAATACCACGGCACTAATAACTGGGGCGCAGCAGAGGCAGCAAGGCCTATATAGAAAGGGACACCTGAGTTAAACTTTAAAGGAAAATGAGGAATTGGAGAAGTGGAGGTAAAGGGGTAAGGAGTGGAGGTGAAGGAGTGTGAGGTATAGAAAGAAGGCTAAAACATAACAGTACAGGAAGGGGAATGATGAATCAAGCTACAAAGGTAGTTTGGAGGTAGGTTATGAAAGACTTAAGGAGTCTGTATTTGATCCTAAAGGGATGCCACTGGAGTAAACTGGGAAAGAGAATGGCATGGCCAGACCTGTGCTTGAGGACTACTGACTTGGCAGCTGTGTGGAAGATGGCCTGGAGAGAGGAGAGACGTGAGGCAGGGAAACTCCTGTAATAGTACAGGGAAGAAAGGATGAGGGTCTGGACTAATGTAGGTGCTTTGTGAGTGGAGGAAAGGGGACAGAGGTTGTAGAAGCAGAATTGACGAGACTTAACAACTGACTGGTGATGTGGGAGGAAGGAGAGAAGGGAATTCAAGATTACAAGCCTGGGCACCTGAAAGCAGGGGGTCCTTCACGGAACGGAAAAATTCAGAGGAGGTGTGAATTTGGAGGGGAAAAGTAAGTTCTGCTTTGAACATGCTGAATTTGAGATGCCTACAAGACATCCTGTACGAAATGCCCAACAGGCATTTATTTGGTAATGAAGGATGGGAGCTTGAAAGAGCAAAAGGTCTAGATGTATAGCTCTAAGAGGAAACTTTATTAAGATGAAAACTAAACCTGTCAGTGCTGATGAGGTCATCATATTAGTAAAAGTCATAAAACTGACATCTTTTGACCCAGCAATCATATTGCCGGGACTATATCCTAAGAATGCTATTAAAAGAGGAAAAAAACCTTCAACAAAAGTATTTTTTTTGTACAAAGGTATTTTCTGTACAAAAGTATTCATAGTTACTTTTCTGTAATAGCAGAAAACAAGAAACCCATACATCCAACAACTAAAGAATGGCTGAATTTATAGTATATCAATGTAACAATATTATTGTGCCACAAAAAATAACAAATATTAAAATAAAAAACAAATATAAATAATACAGAACAAAGTTAGCATAATTAAAAGAACATACACATTGATGATTATATTAAAAAGGATAACAAAACTTTTAAGTACACAAAAGAGATTAGAAAAGACATAGAACTATTATCATATTATTGTCAATATTTTTAATCAAAATATAAACAATACAGATTCTATAGTATTATTTGGAATTTAGTGCCAAATAGTTTCATTTGTATTTTTGGTGAACACAAATGGCGATTTCGCACGCACCTCTCCCCCCCCCACCCCAAAGAAGTACCTAATCAGAGTCCAGGCCAAACAGGTTAGCCTACCACAAAACCCAGTAAATTGGACACAGTAAGCACCTTAATTTTTCATTTTCACTCATTTGCCATTCAAAATATAACATACTACATGACAAGTTCCTTTCCATTAATCTAACGACAAGGAAAGTCTCTATGTGTGACCTTATCTTGTGCTACTTTGGATCACAAGATCTTTTTTTTTTTTAAGTAAATCTGAATATTTAAAATGAATCCCAGTAATTGTATCAAATTTCATATTTAGTCCAGAAAAACAGATTGGGTAAAAACAGTAACTCTTTTCAAATTACCTAGTGTGTTGTCACATGAAAGAAGAGTTATTATTCCTTTATTATTCTATGTAGCCCCAGAGGGCATAATTAGAACTAAAGGATGGATCAGCTTAAGGAGAACTTCCTAATAATCAGAACTGTCCAAAAGTGGAATGGACTATCTTAGTGCATCTCCTTCATCAGAAATACTCTAGTGGAGACTGATGACCAAATGTCAGGGAAGCTGTAGAGCAATGGTGTCAAACTCAAATAGAATAGGATCCCTGTGGCCACTAAGAAAACCACAAATTAACATTATTTATGTTGTATTGTATTTTTATTTTGTTAAACACTTCCCAATTACATTTTAATCTGCTATAGCCCCTCAGTTTGACACCTCTGCTGTGGCGGAAGGTACTTGTGCAGTAAAAACTTGTTAATAAGGGTAGATAGAATTCCTTTGGGGTTCCTTCCAACTGAGTCTTCAATTCCAAATAACTTTAATAAACAGCATCCCACCATCACCCTTTCCACACCCCTCATATATACCTTGAGGGGCTGGCTTTTACTTGTTTTGATTTCTCCAACAGGACTGCTTTGTGTTTTATTGTTTTCATTTCCACTTTCACTTAAGCCTTGATTTCCAAAGATTCTGTTACCACTGCCGCCCTCCTCCCATATGGAGCCACGCTGTTTCTGAGCTCTGCCACAGATCTCTGGTTTCTCCTCTGCCTCATCCAAAGAAAGGTATTGTGCTGAAATAAATTGAGAACCCAAGATGTTAAAAGAATACAGCTGCCATGTTAAATGACTCCAGGGCTAATTGAGTCCCTAGCACATTATCATTTAGGAAGCCAGCTTTCCTGAGGTATTCTGCTAGCAAGCCACAAATATCAATTGATCACAGCAGGAAATAAAGAACCCCAACAGGCTGAAAGACTTTAGGTAAGTGGACACAAACACACACACAAAAAACCTGATGCTCTTTCCCATGATCAGCCTCCATACAAATTAAGTAAGGTGCTTCAGCTTTCAACATAAGTTTTTGAGAACATGTCCTCATTTTCATTTAACTCCTTAAAGAAAGTATATTGCCAGAGTCACAAAATCTAAGATACAGTAACTGCACCCTTTGGAGTAGATATAATAATATATATATGGAGTATATAAAACTAAGTAAAAATATGACAAACACAAGTACCTGGAAAACTACGTGGCTGAAGATAAATGATGGGGTAATATTAGACCTTTCATCTCTGCAGCCCTAGTAAAGATCTACAGTTCAAGATGATAAGAGATTTTAAAAGCTATCATTTGATAGACGTTGGTGATTTAGATAACATGGCAGATTCCAAATAGTATAATTAGGTACTCTGTCCTTGCCCTCTATTTTAATTGGAATGGTTCTCACAACTATGAAGCAAAAGAACTCTACCTAGAGGAGTTAATGCTAACAAAAGCTATGATGTCCATAGTTTGAGAGCAGAGGAATATAGACCTCACTTTCCATTAATGCTAATTCATTTTGCAGGTTTATAAACAGTATATTATCTACTTACGGTTTCTTTTCCCCTGGTTCATCTGTACCATCGCAAGTATTGCAGATTCAATATTGTAATTCTCAGCTTCCAAGTTCTGTACTATTAAATTAACATCCTACCCAAAAAACAGAAAGATGGGTCAATATCCTATTTACATGGCCCTATCCAATTTCATTGCAGCAACTTAATAAAATATGGCATTTGCCCTCGTTAAAGATATCTATATACTTTACTCATCATAAAGAACTCCTTCATTCCAACAATACAGAGCATTACCTTACAATATGTACCTAGAGTGATCAATTAAGCCTTTCAGATAACTCTGGGGCACAGCTAAATACTAGTTTAGTTTCCTACTTTTAATGTAAAAAGTTCCCTTTTAGTAGTTTTTTTTCCCAATACTCAGCATTAATTTTAAAAAACCCATATATGCTATTTTTATAATGAGAACAATACCAGGCAAATCTACAAAATGAAAAGGAAATAAATAAGTAGTGTTCATTAAAGTTGAAAAAAAAATCCTATCATATATAATTAGCCAGTGTAGCTCAGTAAGTACAGTATCATCAGGCAGGAATCAGAATTCTCGTGAAACTATCTGGGCACAAGTGGCACACCTTTATCCCAGAGAGTGGTGGGTCTTCTCAGCAGTACCAACACTGCACACTACAGTCAACAGGAGCTATGTCCTTTCACTAACACTGCTTACAGAGTAGTTTTCTACTATGTAGATACTAACTGAACATCCAGTTGCATTACAAACTTTCTGTACGGCATCTTCTACTTCATCTTTCAAGTCATCTTCAAAGTCATCCTCCTTTGGCTTAATCTTCTCTCTCTTGTTTGAGTCATCTTTATTAAGCATCTGAAACTAAAAATATTTCAATTTGGAGACAAGAATCACGGACTAGACTTACTGTCTCTTTCCTGTCTTCATTAGAGGCAGTTCTGATCTCAAAGAAAATAAAATGCATGAAAGAAAAATGATGAAAAACATACTAAGATATTTCAAGACCACTTAAATACAATAGCAATAAGTGGGTGGGCCAACATTTCATTCAGGCAAGGAGACTAAGATGACAACCCCCCCAAAAAAAAAGATATCTAAGTGCAGCCACCACATTAAGTGTTTCTGCTTAACTGTTTTTCTTTGTTACAATGAGGGAGGAGGTGTTTTCTTCCAAAAGCAACCGTGATGTACAGACAGAAGGCCTCAATATAAAAAGGCATCTAAGACAACTGGGGGGAGGGGGAGGGGGCAAGGCAATGGGGATTAAGTGACTTGCCTAGGGTCACACAGCTACTGAGTGTCTGAGGCTGGACTGAACTCAGATCCTCCTGACTCCCAGACCAGTGGTATATATCCATCCAGCTGCCCCCTAAAACACTTACTGAACTGTCTTAGATGTGGAGCAGCATCAGCCCAGTCTACACTAAACAGATAACATCCATAGCTATTCTTTATGATCCTGGAAACCACATTGATAGTAATTGTTTAACACTAGAGACAAACATCTCCCAGTGAAATGCTAGAAGCAACAACAGAAGAAACCATCCCCACCCCTAACCCCCTCTGCACAGCCTTAGCCCTGAACTATTGCAACAAGAGAGGACTCGTCTACTTTTATATATTGTTTAAAGACAGATGATGGGCTAAAACCACCAGCACATATCTTTCATCTGGCTCCCTGGGTTTTGACTAAAAATCAACAAGTCAAGATCTAATATCATTGCCACTCTAGTTGATCAACCCTAGCTGACCAGAATTTTATCTAACCTCACATACCTAATTCCATAATGATGTCCCTATCACACTCAGTTAATACCAAGTTCAATTTCCATAATCACAAAAAACAATCCACTCCTGGGTCCCTAAAGCCCTTCATGTACCTAATTCACCCATAAGTGGCATCATGCCTTAGTCTGTAAGGAAGAAAAGGAGGTACTGAGTCATCATCTCTGCCTCTAGTCTATATTGGGAATCTGGCAAGGAAAATGCTACTTCATACAAAAATCAAAGGTGAAAGCAAAAGAATAAGTGATTGAGTGAAAACTTCAGTGAAAGGAGACCAGCTTAAGTACCAACTGCTTCTACAAGAAGCAGAAAGAAGTCTGGCGAGAAAATATCCCCTGCTTCATCTACCTGAGCTGCATGAGAAACAAACCAACCCTGCAGCTCCCTCAAGCTAGCTCTCCATCAAACATCCATAGTAGCTACTGAACTCCAAGGGTACCCTCTGCTCAGACCATGCTCACGTCTGTCTGAAGATGGGCAGGAGCTTCTGAATTATCATTGATCCTCCGAACGCTGTCATAGTGCTCTCCGTAGCGATACGCAATGTGCAGCTCCCTGACGTTGGCTTTGTCTGTACCACGAATCTGAAAGCAAAGCAGGAAGAGAAGCTTGCAGCAACACACGCAGAAACCGTGTTCCACGCCCAATAACCCTTCCGGCGACACTGCTTTTCTATGAGGGAAGAAGGCCCAATATGCCTGTAGGAATTACCTTGCAAAGGCCACAAGAACTTCACAGTGTGTATGGCCTTTAGAAACAGAAACCAAGCTGGCTTTCAATTACTGATTATGCCATCCATACCCTCTGACCCAGAGATCCCGCTGCTAGGCATATACTCCAAAGTGGTCAATGGAAGAAGGAAAACGTACCAGATACCAGAACGTCTCCAAATCGCCAGTCTCTAACACTGCATTAGACGGCAAGCATTTAATCAACGTCTGCTGAACTGAAGCTTCTGAGCTGTACGCTCCTGGTCAGGCCCCAACCTGAAGAGCCTGAGCTTCCACACCTTTAAAATGAGGCTAATACCGGCACCACCCACCTCCAAGGGAGCTGGAAGGAGAATGGTTCTACAAATCCTAAAGAACAGCAGAGACTGGACTGTCTGATACAAATGTGAGGGACGATTCTTATCAAAGGTATTCGTTTTTAGAAAAATGTATCTTTTTCAGTGTACAGACAGCCTTCCCTTTTTCCTACTCACAATAAAAAACAACACAGAACCGGAATTCCATACACTATTAGGCACAGTGAGGTGGTACAACGGAAAGAGTACTGGGCCTAGAGTGCACTCAGACAACCTGCCAGATGGCTGAGCCTGAGCGAGTCACAGTCTGCTTCAGGTTCCTGTAAAATGGGCATAACAGCAGCACCGATCTCCCAGGAGCAAGTAAGAGAATAATTACAAAGTGGTCAGCACAGTGTCTGGCACATAGCAAGCACTAGATAAATGTTACCTGTGGTTACAATCTCTATGTACCCCAATTCAGAACTGTAATAAAGGAATGCTTCCCCTTAAAGTCCTCACTTCTAAAAATCCTCTTTAAAATTCTCAAATAGATTTCTGAAACAGCACTTCTAAAATACTATAGGTGGTATGGCTCTCTCTGTTCCCAGAGAACTAATTACGTTATTCCAACACTCCTGGGCGTGATAGGTCTTAAAGTATGCTTAACCCAAAGCAGACACTTAATAAATACTTGCCGGTTGATTAACCTCCTATAAACTCCAGTGAATCAGTGCGTGATTTTATGATGTTACAATTCCATTCCTGTGCACAACTATATTACCTCTCAATGGCATTCACATTAATTACTGCAAGTTTTTCCACGATAAAGCCACCAACTACATTTCTGGTCACGTTACTTAAGACCCCAGGACAAGTCATTTGACCACTCACTGCTTTAGACAACTCTAAGATAAAAAGTTACAAAGAAGGGGCTTCCCCGGGTTGAGGGAATTTTCTCATCTGAGAGTTCCCTATACCAATGGAATCACAGATCCAGTCCCTCTCATCCACTTAAAGAAGCCCAAAAGTTATTTATGAATGACTTTGCTGAGAATTCTCTACTAAATGACTTACCTGCCACAAAGGGGCATTAAGCTGATGAATAACAACATTCATTTGATGATTTCTTGCAAAGGCTACAATTGCATCGTTTCCAGCAAAAGTGCCAGGTTTTGCCAAACTGGCAACTAAATGAAAATGGGAGAAAAATGAAGGCTTCAGGAGAGAATGCTCAAAATGCAAACAAAGCTTTGGCAAACATTCTGCCACACACAAAGACAAGGAGGAGCATACAGGGCTCATCATAAATGGCTACAGATAAAGTACATTTCTAGCGAGAAATAGCTACATCAACTGTGGATGCCTTTGCCTGAAATTCTTACAGAAAAGCTGGGAGATTCGATGTAGTCATAAAAAGATGGTGACCTCTAAAAAAGAACTAGGGAATCAGACTTAAGAGTTACAGGTTCCCTAGCAAGGGCTAGACTGAGATTGAAGTCTTGAAACCACTAAGCTATGTGGTATCCACAGAGAAGCGGAATTCACAAGTCATTTTTAAAATGCTAACTCATTTTATCTTCTTCTAGACTCATTGCAAAGTGTTAAAATCATAATATAATGGAATAATTCTTACAATAATATTCAAAGAAAGGATTATTTTCCTCAATATTCAGGAGTATTCCACTCTTGGAAAAAAAAAAGTGACATATTTAAATAAATGTCTTATAATTTTCCAAGACATATGTAAGGACTGGCTTCCAAACCTTTAATCTGACACAGATGGCAGATGTACAGATTCAGAATTCTCTCATCTCTGCTATAACACAGTCTTTCCCTCAGTCATTTCATTTTCATTCCTATATGCCTCCAAAGGACTACTAGGCATGTTCAGTAGCATTTTTTTCTAAAAACCGTTTCCTAATCTATATGTAAGTTTTTCAGGAAATTAAATAATTGAAAGCTCCTACTCTCCTTAGGGCCCCAACACCCAACTCAACAAATTACTCTAACAACATTCAGAATGCAATTCACATTTGCAAAGGTACAAACTCATTTTGTAAAATGCATATAATTTGGCTAAACATTGCTCCACTGATCTGTGTAGAAAATGATCTGAGAATCTTGCCTAAGATATGTCAGTCTAATGTGTAAGAACCAAAACATTCCAACAAAACTATGGCAATCTCCTCAGAATAAAGGGAGCTCAAACACCACGGCCCTGAGTTGTAAAGGAACTGAGCTGAACTCCAGCACAGCGACAGGTTTACAGCATAACCTTGGGTAAGTCGCCGCCTCTCAGAGGCTCAGTTACAGAGCGGGCTCTGTAAAAGAAGGGGGTTGGGATAAACGATCTCTAAGATCCCTTTCAGTTCTAAATAGATCTTATGAGGGACTACTGAAGTTCACTAAACACTACTAACTGTTCACTTAAAGAATCACTTTGTGACAATATAGTGGAAGTTGCTAATAAGTTTCATTCCCTAGTGCATTTCTCCAAGAGGACATAGTATCCCGCCGACCTACCATGTTTCTCAAAGGGAATATCATCCTCCACAAAAGGTTCAAAGTCATCCCGCTGTCTTATCATATAGTCAACAGTCTCCTGTCTGTGTCTGAGATGGTTTCGTGAATGTCCCTCTAACTGATCCCCAAGAGCTCGGAACAGGCAATTGCTGCAAGGAAAGAAGCTCTGGTTAACAATATTTTAATTTTAATAAAGGAAGAAAAAATAATTAACAAACTGATTCTTATCAAATAAAAGCCTCCAAGGCACCAGACAATAACTACTCATTTACATAGTCCTTATAGGTTTGCAAACCGCTTTCCTCACAGAAGCCCACAGTAGACAACACAAGCATTATCACTTCCATTTCACATAAGAGGAAACTGAGCTCAAGGAGGTTCAATAATCCACCCAACGTCACTCAGGTAATAAGTGTCAGAACCTTGATTTCAGAGCATTATCTTTTTTTTTTTTACTACAAACCCACTGCTCTTTGCATTACACCATATTGTCATAAATACTCACAAGTAGATCTATGGAAAGACTCAGGTCTTTACCCACTCAGGGTAAATATGTACAAGGAGAAGAAGTGCCCATACTGCCTTCATAGATTCCCTCACATTTATCTCATGCTCTAAGGCTTACAATCCTTTGAAGTACAAAGTACAAATATTATTCTTTGCATTTTATGGAGGAAAAAAGTAATGCTCAGAGAAGTAAAGAATTTGCCTGCAGGCACACAGCTACCAAACGGGAAAGGAGAATTTGATCTACTAGCTCCAAAGGCAGTGATCTTTCCACTACAATAGTAACACTCTCTCCGTCTTCCCTATCCACTGAGAAGGCAAGAAAAACAAAACCCATTACAGATACATGTAGTCAAGCAAAACAAATTTCCACATTAGCCATGTTCAAAATAAAATTAAAAAAAAAAAGAAAGAAGAAAATATATTTCAATCTGCACTCAAGTCCATCAGCTCTGTACCTGGAAGTAGAGAACATGTTTCATCAAGAGTACTTTCAAATTTCAGTTGGCCATTGTAATTTTGTTCAGAGCTCCTCAATCTTTAAGAGAACAGTATCTACTTAAGAAAGCATGGCAAAGTCAGAAAAGCTCTGAACCAGGAGCACAAGACCTCTGTTCTTGTCCCCATTTACTAGCTATACAATCCTGGAAAAACCACTTAATCCCTCTGGGCCTAGGTTGCCTTATCGGTAAAATAAGGATAATGCTTTACCCTATAAAGATAGAGGCCTAGACCAGATGACTTTTGAAGTCCCTTCCAGACCCAAGATCTAGGATTTTCCCATATCACCTTAGAAATAGATAGTCTACATGGCAATCCACATCCACTGCCCTCTTTCTGAACCAAGTTTCACTAGAGGTTCAGTGATACAGCTATCTCATTACTCATTTTAGATGTGTTCCTTAGCTAAAGGAGTCTGTCCAGCCAAGCAGCTTGAGAGACAAAAGCTCTCACATCTGGTCAGATAGTGGAGATAGTGGAGAAACCTATGCAAAGAACATTCATTGAACAAACAACACTATTATGAAATGGAACGTCTTTTTTCCCCCGACTCCTCACCAATCACCTGGGGATCAATAACACTTACTCTTGTCAAAAGAAAACCACTCACCTTGGTCACCACAGTTTCCAAATCTAGACGACTCCATCTGAGCTTTCAGATCTCTGAAAGATTGATCTATTTTCCAATCGTATCACTGACAAAAAGGCCCAGTACTATTAAGATCCAAACAAGACAGGAACAAACCTCAGCACTGGGAAGTGCTGACAGTGAGTGGAATTATGCCATTCTGAAGCCTAACAATGGCACAGTCTTACTCCAAACTGCTTATTTTTCTACATCACCAGAAAAAAACAACTTGGAAAGACTGATCACCCCAACAAGTCATGATTCCAGAGGCCTATTGAAATATACTACCAACCTCCTGAGAGAGAGGCAATGGCTTCATGTGAGAAGATTGAGATATGTTATTTTTGGACATGGTCAATATGGGAATTTGTTTTGCTTTACTATACATTTTTTATAACAGGTTTTTTTTTCTTTCTTTCTCAATGCGGGGGGGAGAGGCAGAAGGAAGTCAGAGAATGCAGATTTTCATTGATTTTTTTAAAAACAACTTTTTTGTAAAGACACTAACTAACCCATGCCCAAGCATCATAAAATCCCAAACTGCCAGCAAAGTCAGAACTAGAGGTAGGCAAGATAAGTAAATGAAAAGGTAAGGGAAAGTGTTTAGGTAAATTTTTTCATATGACTTTAAGATTTTCTAAATAAATTCAAAATAAATATTCAAAATATTTATTCTAAATATTCTAAGTACATATTTCTAAATAAATTTTAATGCTAGCTGTTATGTCAATTCAGCAATGGCTCAAAGTCTCCAAGGGGTGGCAACATACAAAATACAACTGTCAGATCCGGCCTAGGATCCACAGTCAGCTCTGGCTGCTCTCCCTTACTATCCCATCACCATCTATGCCCACTGGAAGTCATGGCTTTCATGTAGATGTTACCTTCGGTTGCACAATTTTATGAATCACAACAAAGTCTAAAAATATTCAAAGCAGCAACTGGTTTTTCTATATTCTGAATTTTTTTCCTCGGGTGATAGCCAGAGGGTGCTCGAAAGTAGAAATCAATAAGCCATTAAATCAGTGCCACAAAACAATTTATGCTAACACCTGTTACTTGCCCAAGGGAATACTCATATGGTGATGGAACCTATCCTTGACTCTAAGGCAACCACTGGCAGAGCCCACAGGATGACCACAAGCCCTATAACTAAACAGAATAGGAGTTTCTTGAAAGCAGGGGGTGTTTCACTTTTGTCTCTGTCTTTTTTTCCCCAGAATACTGCACAGTGCCTTGCACAGTAGGCATTTAATAATGGGTAGAGGGTTGGGAGAGCAAATCAGGGACGACCTCATTGAAGAGATGGTGTTTAGGCTGATAAGTAGGATATCAAGAGACAAAGAGGGATGAGAGAATGGAATATGAACAAAGACAAGGAAGGAAGAAAAGGGAGTCTTTCTCAGAGAACAGCCCAGTCTAGCTGGCTGGAAAGGTAGTTTGGGGTTACACCACCAAAAGCCTTGGATGCCAGGTGGCAGTATGAACCACAAGCTCCTTTCTTCACCTTTGAGACAAGGTACATGAGCCCTGTTTCCACTGAATGTTCTTCTCTTCCATTCCATCCTTCTTGCACTCCTATATCCTCAGCACCTGGGAGAAGAGGAGAAAGATTCTGCCAAGACCTTTCCTGTTCCTACTCTATTCTTCCTTCTCAAAGGACATGCTATGTTCCCAAGCCCCCTCCTCTGTGTCTCTCCCTGCCTTCCAGAGGCTTCTTGCCCTGCTCCCTGTCCCCCCACCCATTACCCCTGAGCCCTGTAACCCTATCCCCTTCCATCATATGAGCCCTTGTGCCTGCATTTCTTCTTTTCTTGCCTTCTCTCCCACTGCCCCCAATGCCCCAACTCTCAACTCCTTAACCACTCTCCACCTATTTCTCCCCTATCCTCTCTCCCCCTAAGAGACTAGATCAAGCCCTGGACCAGAAAGCAAAAGACAGACCTAACTAAACTTAGTGCCTGGCTCTGATACTTAACAATTGTGAGTACATTATCAGTAATCTCACTTCTCTAGGCCTCAGCCTTCCCACCTATAAACATGATGACCCATACAATGAGGAAAGCCACGGGTACAACTAGGATCCCTTTTCCCCCACAGATGTTACTGCTGGCTACCCGTTCCTTTCTCCATGGACAATCCTACTACTCTAAAGTCATCCATCCCGTCATCTAGAGTCCTTTCTTCCATCTGCCTTTGTTCTTACTAATGCCCCATCCTTCCTAACTCAACTCCCTAGTGCACTCTCACTCATTCTGTCCCTGTTTCCTGGGGCTCACCTCACCCAGCCAATCCAATTTAATAAGCAAAGTTCAGAGAACAGGCCTTAGAATTAGGAAGACCTGGGTTCAAATCCCCACCTGTGGCATATATTGGTGTGACTCTAGGCAAATCACCTAAACGTTTCAGTGTTCCAAGCAATTCTAAGCTGACAGAGAAAGCCCATTACAGGGCAAAGTGCTGGATTTTGAGTCAGTGGAACTGTATCTGAATCCATTTACTACCGGTATAATTTTTTGCAAGCTATTCAACCTCTCTGGGTCTCAGTTTTCCCATCTGTAAAATGAAGGGGTTGACTTAGGTGACCCTAAGGTCCCTTCAAGCTCTAAAGCTAAGGTGCTAAGGTGAAAAATAAGTTTAAAAGGATTTTCCTACACCGATGAAATCACAAGTTTCTGACAAAAACAATAACAAAGCCCAAATCAGGCAAGGTGAACACCAAAACAAAAATCAACCAGTCTTTGCCCTCAAGGAGCTTACAGTCTATAGCTCCTGTACCCCTAACCCCTGGGGATCCAGAAAGGAAGAGGAAGCGCGCGCGCACACACACACACACACCCATCCAATCTCCAAATCTCAACATATAAACCCCAGTGTGGCATTCCAAAGCCTTCACCCTCTGGCTCTAACTCAATCTCTCCAGCCTTATTATACATTACTCCTCCTCTCAAACTCCATGGTCCAAACCGCCCTTCTTACTGTTCCTGGTCTGGATACTACCTCTCCCATCTCCTGGCCTTTGCTCCAGCACTCCTCCGTGACAGGAATGCTCTCCCTCCTCATGACTTCCTTGGCTTCCTTCAAAACTCATGGTAAATCCCACTTTCTGAAAGAAGCTTTCTGGGACGTGCTGTTTCCTCTGGGACTCACCTGCAATTCACCTTAAGTATACATTCCATACATATATGGTTGTTTTCGTGCTGTCTATCAAATTAGATGGTGGGCTCCAGGAGTCCTTATATAAGAACAACTTTTGTCGTAGTAGCTGTTGCTTTTGTCTGTCTTTGTATCTCTAGCGCTTAGCAAAGGGCCAGACATACATTTACACAGTTAAGTGTTTAAGCAATGCCAGTAGACAGATTACCGAAGTCTAGCCAGATAGTAAGCTCCTGGAGGGCAAAATCTGTTTGGTTCAGTTCGGTGTGTGTCCCCTGCTAGTGAGCATAACAGCTATCATTTACATAGCGCTTTAAGGTTAGCAAAGCGCTTGTCTCATTTGACGTGCACACACATACACAGACACATAGACGCGCGCACGTACACACACACCCCCAACCCTGGGAGGAAGGTGCCCCATTTAACAGATGAGGAAACTGAGAAAGGTTAAGCGACTGCACTTGAAGGTGCTTCATAAACGCTTGCAGACTGACTGCTGCCTCCTCACCTCTGCACCTGTTCACGTCTCCAGCTCGCACCTCCGCACCCCCATCTCCCCTGGTCCTCGGACTACGCGCATCCTCCCGGTCCTGGCAGCGCGCGCCTCCCCCATGCCCTCCTCCCACCGGTCGGGCCCCGGCGCGCGCCGCCTCCCCGCCCCCTCCCCCATCCATCCTCACCCGTCGCCCGGCACCTCGCGCAGCTTGAGCCCCAGGGCCTGCAGCTGGTTGGCGAAACTGACGAACTCCTCCTCGCCGCCGGCGCCGGGCTCCGTCCGGTTCCGCCGCTCCTTGGCCAGGGCTCTCCGAGCCGCGCGCTCGTCCCGCTTCCGCTCCGCCTCGGCCTTCCGGCCGCTGCCCGGCCGGCTCTTCACCGCTTGCTTTCGGGACATGACCCAGCCCCTGGCCCAGGCGCCGGGCCAGGGAGACGACGCCCCGAGCGCAGCTGACGAGGCAAGGCAGGCGGCGGCTGCAGCGGCAGCGGCGCCGGGGCAACAGCAGAGCAGCTTCTGCGCTTGCGCCGCGTCCCTCGAGCCTCTTGCCTGGCAGCGGCTTCCAGCAGCCCCTGTCACGTGGCCCAGCGCAAAGGTTCCTCAGAGAGGAGACAGAGAGCTGGGGCGAGCTAGAGCGGCCCCACAGGGCTGTGTGGTGTTCGGTCCGCCCCCTAGCGAGGAAGGTGGTGCTCCGAGGGAGGCAGAGGGCGTGGGGACAGTGTTTTCTAGCAGGGAGGAGTCTTAAAGATGATCTATTCCAACCCTTGCATTCTTTATAGATGAGGTGGATGGATGGATGATTGGATGGAGCATGTATTAAACGCTTACTAGGTATATAGACATTGTGCTAAGCACTGGGGATCCAAACAGAAAATAGGATAGCCTCTGCCCTCAAAGAGTTCGAATTCTGATAGGAGGAAACAACACACTTAGGTTTCAGAGGCAAATCAAATGAAAAAAAATTCCGTGGTCTGTAGCAGCAAAGCAGATGATAATACCTCTTTTATTAAAGTCATTAATTGACTGAGGCCCAAGGAGGTGACTTGCCCAAGGTCACAAAGATAGTGAACCTCAGAATCCCTTTTGATAGTTCATATTTATGTAGAACTTTGAGGTTTTGCATACATTATCTCATTTGAGCTCATCAACAAATATTTATTAAGCACTGTCAGACATTGTACTAAGCACTAGGGGTAATATTTTTATATCTTTACAAATATCTCATTTCATTCTCACAATTATGAATTAATAAATGCTTTATCTAATCAAATTAAATTATTCAGAGGCCTACGTTGCCCTGAACACGGGTGTGCCCTGGCCATATGAGTTTCCCAGGCAATAAATAGCGTTGGAGACTTGGAATCAGAAAGACCTGGGTTGGGTCTCACCTCAGACACTCATGAGCTGTGTGATCCTGGGAGCTAGGTGCTAGTACTGTTCCCATTTTACAGATGAGGAATCAGGCAGAAGAAGGTCACAACTGAAGCCCTAATTTAAACTAGCTGCATACAGAGTAGATGAGAGAAAACTAGCAGCTAGAAGAACCAAATAGCCTCCAGGATAAAGTGGCCTTTGACCTAAGTTTTGAAGGAATACAGAGCCTCTATAGCAGAGATGAGAAGGGAGAACAGACAGTGCAAAGGCAGGAAGACAGGATACAGAGACTCCTGTGTAGAACAGGACAGTAAATGGAAGGGAATAATATGTACCAGTCTGTAAAGATAAGGAGAGGCCGAACAGAAGTTCGTATTTGAAACAATAAGGAACCACTGAAGTTTATTGAGTGGGGAGGGGGAGGGGTGACACACACAAGCCTGCCCTTTAGGAAAATCACTTGGGCTGCTGTTTTTATGCCTGACTTCTTCATGACCCCATTTAGGGTTTTCTTGGCAAAGATACTAGAGTGATTTGCCATTTCTTTCTCAAGCTCATTTTACAGATGAGGAAACTGAGGCAAATGGAGTTAAATGACTTGCCCAGGGTCATACAGCTAGTGAGTGTCTGAGGCCAGATTTGTACTCAGGAAAATGAGTCTTCCTGACTCCAGGCCTGACACTGTGTACACTGCACCAGCATGCTGTACGGAGGATAAATTGGAGTCAGGAAAGACTTGAGCCACAGAGAATCATCAAACAAAATTATTTCTGTAGCACCTTGTATGTGCACCCCGCCATCCTACCCCAAATCTGAGGTACATCAAAGTCATGACTCATCTCAGAGGACACGTTAGCTCAAAGCAAAAGGTATCTAATTAAACAACATAGCAAGATGAGTGCCTGAAGATTTTCCCATACACACAGAAGGCTGCTCTTTCATAGGTGCCATACCACCAGTGGGAGAAGAGATACATTCAAAGAACAGCCTAACTCAAAGGATGTCTATGTAGCATGGCGTACGATGTGGGAAATGAGGGTAAGAGCAACTATGTAAGCTGAAGGTTTACCAAGTGCTTGACATGCATTATTTCATTTGATCCTCACCACAACCCTGTGAACTAATTGTTACAGCTATTTATTAGCCTTATTTTACATTTAAGGAAACTGAGACTGAGAGATAAATGACTTGCCTGGGATCCTACAACTCATGAGAGACTAAGGTGAGATCAGACCCATGTCTTTCTGACTCCAAGTCCCAAACTCTATAGTTGCCTTGGAAATTCATGTGGCCAGGGCTTACATACAGCCATGTTCAGGGCAACCCAAGCCTCTGAACGGCTAGATTAGATTAGACAAAGCATTTCTCTTACTGTGTACCAAGTACTGCTCTAAGCACCAGGAATAGTGCTTCTGGGGACATAAGCTGGTTTGGGTTTTGAGGGTTTTTTCCCCTAATGAACTGGGGTCTTCCGTTGTTTCTTCTGCACCACACTGCAGGCTTCCTAGATATGTTTGTAGAGCTTGATTTCTTCTGGAAATCTCCACCGTCAGTCAGTTAATAAGCTCTTATTAAGTACCTACTCTGTGCTAGGAGTTTGCACTAAACCACTGAGGACACACAGAAAGGAAAAAGATGTTCCCTGCTCTCAGAGGGCTGACAATCTAATGAGAGAGACAACAAGCAAACAAAATTGTACGTTATAAACACAATGAATAGGAAATAATTAACACTGCTATTGACACTCTCTGCTTGGCCTTTTTACCACCACTGCTGGTTCAGCTAGTGGCAGCTTTGTGTTAATTGATAGAGGGGGAAGAGACTTAGATTCAGGGTGGACCTGAGTTCAAAGCCTGCCTCATCTATTAACAGCTTTACAATCCTGCATCAAGCTACTTAAGGTGCCTCACTCCAGTTTTCATGACTGTTTTCAAGTCATCTGTAAGATGAGGGTAAAAATAGCGCCTACCTCATAGGTTGTTTGGGGATCAAATTAGAATATCTCTAATGGTGTAGAAAGCACCCCCTCCCATTTGTCTCTGGTGCCTAGATCTAGTGAGAATGAACACTTTTTGATTTAAGGACACAATCAGAACTTGGTATACACTGGGTCTCTATACCTATGTGAATCAATCAAGGCCTTGTGTGAAAGATTAGACCACGTAAGTGTAGCATGTAGGGGTATCTTTGTGTGGCTCAAAGGGAGGAAGAATAGACATCTTTAGTCTCTCCTCCCCCCCCCCGCATCCCTCTCCAGTGGAGACTTTCATTCCTGCCAAGAGGGGAAGCAGAAGTTTGGGGCTAGAAGTCTGGCCTCTCTGCTTCCCTCAGAGAGGTGGGTTAACAAGCTGGAATTATATCCATCTGCTTCTTTACAGATTGTTAGTCTGAATGTGGTTTTCAGCTTCAATCTGAACTTCTGATCTCTGTTTCTTAATAAGGAAAGGAAGGCCCTAAGCTTTATACCCAAGGCTTGACCCTCTTCCTATCAAATGCCACTTACACAATGAACATGCACAGGAAATAGCAAGGAAACCCATTTATCCAAGTCAATAGCAAATAGCAAAACATAAATGAGAGAAAAACACATGAGGATCTATACCCGACAACAGAGAGTGGAGTAGCTCTCCCACAGGGAATCAGATAACTGCTCAACCAAGAGAATCCCAATCTTCACTCAAAGAGGAAATTCCCAAAGTGACTAGTAGCATAGGGTTTGTCCTTAGTTCTCTAAGTGGACTGTGACATCAGGAAGGTGATGTCATGACATGCAAGTGAATTGGATTTAAGTGAGAGAGGTCTGGGCAAAGTCACCAGCCTCACTTTCTCCTCCGGAGCCATCTGGATCCAGTGGCCAGATATAGATCAGGATGACTGGAGATGGCCCAAGGCTAGTAGCATAGTCAGCTCCTCTCATGTCAACTCCTTCCTGGAGTCTTAATCTCCCCTCAGAAGTGAGGTGGGCATCATCCATCTTCTCTCTTAAAGCTAGAAGCCAGAAGCACCCCAAGAGCCTGCAGAGCCTCAGCACACTAAAGAAACCAGACCTCTTGCCAACCTCACCCTCTCCACCACAAGAATGCAGGGCACTGATCTCCACTAGTGAGGAGACAGTACCATATCAACAGGCTTTGACACTCTGGTTTCGTAAGCAATTTGTATGAAAGGAAGAAACTCCCTCAGAATGGGATTCTAAGATTTCTGAGATTCTAAGTTTCTGGAGTCCAGAAGTTGAAGCAAGCATGGAGAAAAGAGAGGACTGAGATATGGCAGAGAAGGGAGATGATGAGAATCATTAGCTCTACAGGTATCTCAGGGAGGAAAACCTGAGGAAATTTCCCAAGAAAAGGAGAACTGTTTCCCCAACTTTGCCTCCCAGTGCCTGCCTACTGACAGACACTCTAATGTAATTTGCTATTTCATTATCAAAATGTTTCCAGTTAACTGAATTTTTACCTCTACCACAAAGAGACCAGGGTTTGACTGGACTAGATATGTGTATTTGTTGTTTGGTCATTTTTCAATTGAGTCCAACTCTTTGCGACCCCATTTGGGGTTTTCTGGCAAAGACACAGGAGTGGTTTGCCATTTTCTTTTCCAGCTCATTTTACTGATGAGGAAATCGAGACAAACAGGGTTAAATGACTTGCCCAGGGTCACAGAGCTAAAAAGTGTCTGAGGTCACATTTGAACTCAGCTCTTCCTAACCCCAGGCCTGGCACCACCTAGCTGCCAGACACAAATGTAAGAGGAAATAAACCCAACCTCTGCATCGGTGTTAAGAATTTTCCTGAGGACTTGGAACAGTGTGAACAAACTCAGGACCTTTCACGTAAAATAGACTCTCTAAAGCCAAGAAGAAGAGGGAATGGAATAAATAGCAAGCACCTTTTTATTGCCTCCTAGGGTTAAAACAAGATAATTAATAGGATATATAATATAATTAATATAAAATGATAAATAAAACAGCATAAAGCACTTTTCAAACTGTAAAGCTCCATAGAAATGTAAGCTATTTCCAGTCAAATATTTATTAAGCACCTACTATGTGCCAGGAACTATTCTAGGGCAGAGGATACAAAGAAGGGCAAAACCACACCTTCCTCCCAAGGAGCCCATAATCCAATTGGAGAGTCAACATGCAAAACTACGTACAAGCAAGATGT